GGACACTTCGTACTGTCTCAGGACCTTTCGTCATAGTTTTGGTACCTTTCGCACTGTCCCAAGACCTATTTTTGGGGCACTTCGTAATGTCCCATTACCTCACACTCAAGTGTTGGGACACTTCGTACTGTCCCAATACCTCACACTCAAGTGTTGGGACACTTCGCACTGTCCCATGACTTTTCGTTCTAGTGTTGCGACACTTCGCACTGCCTCAGGGCCTTTCTTCCTAGTGTTGGGACACTTCACACTGTCCCAAGACCTAGTGTTGGGACACTTGGCAATGTCCCAAGACCTCTCACTCAAGTTTTGGGACGCTTTGCACTGTCCCAAGACCTCCCATTCAAGTGTTGGACACTTCGCACTGTCCCAAGACCTAGTGTTGGGACACTTCGTACTGTCCCAAGACCTCTCACTCAAGTGTTGGGACACTTCGCACTGTACCAAGACCTCCCACTCAAGCGTCGGGACACTTCGTACTGTCCCATGACTTTTCGTTCTAGTGTTGCGACACTTCGCACTGGCCCAAGACCTAGTGTTGGGACACTTCGCACTGTCTTAAGACCTCCCACTCAAGCGTTGGGACACTTCGCACTGTCCCAAGACTTCTTTGTTCAAGTGTTGGGACAGTCGGATCTCTTCTTCTTCGGTGTTGGGAAACTTAGATCTCTATCCCCGGTACCACCACTTGAGCTCTAGTGTTAAAATTTCCCCAAAACCCAATCTTACTGACCAAAAGTTTTACCTATTAGCCCCCGTGTAATTACCTCCCTCTATTATTCTGATGCCAGTCGAAACACGACTTGTTAGCAAGTGTCTTGTGATCACCTATTTGTCAAAAACCGATAAAATTAGTTCCAAAAACGTAGAAATTTAAGTGAGAAAAATGATAAAAAACAGAAAGATGAACGCACCTAAAATTGATAGGTGACCAATGTCGTCCTTTCGTAAAAAAAGTAGGTCTGTTACCTGATTGTCACGCGTTTAACTCACCCCTACTAACGATCTTATGGGGTATTCTCCCTTCGGGTTTCAAAAACTGTCTATTTCCGATCCCCTCACCCGATCCGACCAGGTTACCTATTTTAATTGGAACTTAAATTTGGATATCCTTGCGTTGCAACTCTTGTTCTGGGTTTAGAGATGAATGTTTCCAGTTTCTGGTTCTACTCAGGTAACTAAATCGACGATATCGATTATATAGTTACTATAATGTGTCCCCCTTTTTACAATTTGCAACCGTTTTCCTCTAACTTAACCATCCCCCTATTAAACCCCCCTTTTAAGCCGAAAATTACCTTAAGCGCGATGGGTGCTAAACCTATTCAGAGAAAACCGTAGAACTTGTTTCCAAGCTCTGTTCAAGTAAAAACGTATCCTCAAAACAGTGGGTATCCGTTTATCCGATTTTATACTTATTTCCTATAAAGTAATGTGGATTTTAACGATACACGATTGACCTAACAGAACACCCCTGCGTGCCCTTTTTTGTTTGTTCTTATTCGGTGCTGGTTGTCTCCTTGGCGTGTCGAGCACCTTTCTCCGGCACCACTTTCCCACTTGGCTGGTCACCTCTTCCAGTCAAGTATCCCAGTGGTCCGTCGATTGACCAAACAGAACACCCCTGTGTGTCCTTCTCTGTTTGTTTTTGTCCATGCTGGATGTCTCCTTGGCGTCTCCAGCACTTCTCGGGTCCGCTTCCTGAGAACCATTTTCCCACTTGGCTGGTCACCTGTTCCAGTCAAGTCTCCTAATGGTTCGCTGAACTTGCAAGCTATTCGAAAACCCTTAACAACGCCCCACACTCGGGCACCTGTATAAAGTTGCTGATTTGATCAAAACGATCGATCTTATTGGAAAACAGTATAGGTATACTACTTCAATTAATATAAAGGTTTGATCCACCCAATCTGGAATTCAAAGCCACTGTCCTTTTTATGTTTCATGGTTTTTTTGTTCCTTTTTCTATTCTTTTTTGGTTTTTTGTTTTGCTTTTTGTCTTTTACTGTTTTTTTTTTGTCCCCCTAGTTATCCCTTTTTACTCGGTTAGCTAGGCTTCGTTCGGAGAGCATTCCAGGTATTTTTCTCGAGTTTTCTTGAAAACCTGTCACGGTACAACCGGAAGGTTTACACGTTCCCGCTTAACCGAGCCACCGGTATTCTAGAATGGGCATGTTGCCCGGAGCTGTGTCAAGTGGGTTTGATCCCGTAGTCCTGATGTCGTATAAATCCACAATAGCGCCATAAAAACACTGTTTTCATGGCACTCCTGGGGTGGTTCATGTTAACCTGGGATGGTTAATGTTAACCGGGTGGTTCATGCACTCCTGGGGCGGTTCACGTTAACCGAAAGGTTGGTGGTTCATATCCACCCAGGAGCCCCATAAAAACACTATGTAACAGTCGCCTACTTCAGTCACATATGAGGTTAAAGAAAAATAAGCCCTATAACCAGTGGCTCAAGAGTAAGGGACACTATCTCTTGTGTTTTTCTACCTCAAACGGTCGGAGCCAATTCGGTTCACCAATGACATGAGACTGAAAACTTTGTTACAGCTTAAAGGCCGCTACCAAAATATCCCCCACTCTAGAAAATTAGAATGTCCCCATACTTAGGTCTCAAAATACCTAAAGCACGCGAACGCCCTTAAAAACAGGGTATAGCTACAATCCGTATAGCTACTTTTTATTGGGAAGTGGAACTTCGATTCCTTTCAGATGGGCCAACCTAGAACTCTCCTAAACTCAACATAACAATATAAAAAACACTCAAGAAATTTAAATTGGGTACTCTTATACCAGCACACTCCAGAATTGGAGTAACTTAATTAACCAATAACTCTAGCCAATATGGATAATCAAGTTTAACTCAAGAAGTTCTGAATAAAACAGTTTTAAATCAAGAGACAACTTTGGTTCTGGACCATTGGGAGACTTCGCCTGTCCACCTTCCCACCGAAGGCTCACTCTGGTCGACTTCTAATTTATCTGTTCTTTACTCGCGATTGTTCTGCCTTCTGTTTCGAATAAGACAGCTCTACTCCCGTGTAATCTTATACCAGGAAATTGCGAATAGCGATTTCCCGCTGTTTTTTTGATTACTTTCCCGCAATTAATTCGGATCTTCTGATATTAATTTTTTATATTTTCACTTGTCTCGAGAAACTTGAGCATGCCATGCTCAATTAGAATTTTTGAAAAAAAACCATCTCACCTCAAAATCATGTTTCTTGCGTTGCCCAAGTGCAAACTTCCAAATATGACCGACTGGCACACCTATCCGTTAAGAATGCTGTGATCCAGCTTAAAGTTTTCCCTTTGATACCAGATTTTGATTTTGTGTTCAATAGTTTTTTGTGGGGAACGCTATCAAAAGCTTTTTGGAAGTCAATGTACACTATGTCTACCTAATAACCCTTGTCCAGTTCAGCAGTCCAGTCGTCGAACGCTTTTAATAACTGGAGAGTCGTTGATCGACCTTGAAAGAAACCATACTTTTTTCTGATAAGATGTTGTTTGGTCTCAAGAAGTCAAACAAATGTCTTCTTATCACTTTTTCCATTATTTTGCAACAGATTGATGTAAGGCTAGCAGGTCGGTAATTGTTTGGGTCACTTTTTGCGTCTTTTTTGTAAATCGCTGTTATAATTGCGCATTTCCAATCTTCGGGTATTTCTCCCTTATCCCAGGAGTTTTGCATTAAAGAACGCAGTAGTTCAGCTATTTCATATCGGCAGTCGCTATCCGCCGCTATGTTACACTTCTCACCGCTGTGCTGCTTTGATCACGCTACTTCGAATCTTTGAAAAATTTCATTTCACAACAAAATCAAGACCAAACGTTGCTCAAGATCAAACTTCCAAATATGACCGACTGGCACAGAGGGAAAGGGTTGATCCATCTCCAATGTATATGATGATTTTTATCTACTGAACAAAAACAATACAAATATAATTAATAAGTATTAGCCCTGTTTTTAGGTGTGACCTCGTGGTCTGGGGATACTGAGACCCAGCCATTAGCTCACTAATTTTGCCGATAGCCCAAAACAGTAACGATTCTCTCGAACCGAGGTTAGAAGGACTACACAAAGAACTGGCTTTGGTAGAGACGGTTAAAAGCATGTAGATATGTGTTTAGACACTAGCCAGTCGTTTTACAACCTAGATTTGTTTTCCGTCGATATATACTTCCGGGCGAATATTACATTGTTTTTACGTCGGTATGGACTTCCGGGCGAATGTTACAGTTGTTATATAGTTTTAGTAATAATGGGCTACTACTTATTAATTATATTTCTATTGTTTTTGTTCAATAGATAAAAATCATCATATACATTGGAGATGGATCAACCCTTTCCCTCTGCGCCAGTCGGTCATATTTGGAAGTTTGATCTTTTAGCCTAATTGTTGTGATAAACTTATTAAATAGTTTCCGGTTAATGGTGACTGATCCCGGAATCACGACAAGATGCCCAGTCGACCTGCCCCTTGTGGACGAGCAGAATGCAGATTCGGGAAACGCGTTGTCAGCAGAGGAATCCAAGGTGACTACTGCTGGATGTGGTATCACTTCTCATGCGCGGGTATCAATGAGAAGGAAGCAACACGCCTGGGCAGATCGGACGATGTATTTTCCGGACTGCATGTATTTTCGTGCAGCTCCCGAGGTGAGACAAACACCATGCGGAGTCCCAACAACATCCTGGATCTCCTCAAGAAAACACGCGCAAATGTGGTAAAGTTTATTCCGAAAGCTAGTAGGCGTCACTTTGCTAAACTGCTGAAGGACTGCTTGTGCCAAGTCGTTGCTAGCCCCGAAGACGAGTTCAACTGAGTCAGACTGTTTTTGCAGCAACTAGTTGCCTTCGTCAACCAGATCGGGGCGGAACCAGGAAACGTAAGTCACTTGCTACTATCCTCAATCAGCAAACCCAGGAGTTCGAGAACGCGGATAAAGATCGCTTGCTCGTCGCTGGCAACCGGATTTCCGAGAAAACAATGAAACGGAAATCGGATCCTGCCGACAATACCGGCCGTAAAATCTCCGAAAAATTTGATGAAGGTGATGTTCGTGGCGCTGTCAGACTTGCTTCCTCTGATGCCACGATTGCCCCATTTGATTCAACTACTCTAAAGAAACTTGAGAGTAAGCATCCGGAAACACCACTGGACAGAAGAGTTTATCCGCAAAACGTTAACACTACTTTAATTGTTAATGAAGACGATGTCTATAGGGCTGTCATGAGCTTCGCGCCAGGATCTGCAGGAGGTACCACTTGTTTGCGTCCTCAACATGTGAAGGACTGTCTAAGTGATAAACTTGGTCAAGACGCCTCGAACCTGAAATCAGCGCTTACTGAGTTTGTTAACCTTCTCCTTTCCGGAAAAGTTTCAGACAGAATAAAACCCTTAATTGCTGGCGCCAATTTGAGTGCTTTCAACAAGCCCAACGGAGGCCTGCGCCCTATAACTGTGGGATACACACTGCGCCGAGTTGCTGGCAAATGTGCAGCCAGTATTGACAGTTCGAAGTTCAAATCCTACTTCGCTCCCCTTCAAGTTGGGTTAGGCACCCGGGGAGGAGCGGAAGCTGCGGTCCATGCAGTTCGGGCGTTCATCAAAAGCGCTAATGAAAACGATGTTCTGCTTAAGCTGGACTTCAGCAATGCATTCAACACCGTTAGAAGAGACTATGTCGCTGAACTCCTTGCAGAAGAAATGCCGGAACTTCTTCCGTTCGACAGACTTTGCTACGAACAGGGAAGCTTCTTGTCTTTCGACGAAGGGTTCATTGTCTCTGAGGAAGGGTTCCAACAAGCAGACCCTCTAGCAGTTTTCCTTTTCCGTCTGTCCACCCACAGATTTATCGTCAGATTGAAGGCCAGGTTGAAAATTGATTATATTGACGACATCACTAAAGGCGACGACTGGAAGATTGTCATTGGGGATCTTCGCCTCATCATGGCTGAGATCGAAAAAGTCGGCTTGTCCTTGAAAGATGAAAAGTGTGAAATAGTTTTCTTCAGTCCTAATCATGAGCTTCGCACCAAGGTTACCAACGAGTTCAAGCTTCTGTGCCCCAGGATCAAGACTGCGCAGGACTCTGAAATTGAGCTTCTTGGCTCTGCCTTGGGACCGATCTCGATTGAAACTATTTTCAACCAGAAGCTGAAAGCCATCCTTCTGATGCAAGAGCGGCTGAAACACGTATCCTCACACTGTGCTCTATTCCTGCTGAAGAATTGTTTTCTCATTCCTAAGCTGATGTACTTCTTTCGAACATCAGAAGTAAGTCTATCGAAGAACTGACCTCCTTCTCACGCTTGAGAACACAATTATAAGTCTTCTGGAAAACATCATAAACATCAAGATAGCTGTTGCTGCGTGGCAGCAAGCCTCACTACCTGCCCGTTCTGGAGGCTTTGGTATCTTACCTCCTACTAAACTGGCTGTCGTTTCGTACCTCTCGTCTTTCCTTTCAATCAAAGATCTAGCACAGCAGGTCTATGCATTTTCTCAAACTGACGTAATAACGCACGCCCTTACTAACTTCGATGCTTTCACAGCAGATGGAGCTCCCCCGCGATCTTTTAAACAGCGCGAAATATACGACAAAATCACGGAAAAACAAGTTAGCCAGTTTCTCCAGGAAGCCACAGCCAGCGATGCCGCCAGGTTACATGGAGCTGCTTGTAAAGGAGCGAGCGACTGGCTCAATGCTATGCCCTCGAGATCTCTAGGATTGCATATGTCAGACGAGCAGCTGAGAATCGCCGTTAGCTTCAGACTAGGTGCACCAATTTGCTCCTCACACACCTGTTGGTGTGGCACCAAGGTTGAAGCGGACGGGTCACACGCGTTCGTCTATCTTCGCAGTCGGAGTCGCCATGCTAGGCACGAACTCTGTAACGAGATTATCCACAAAGCCCTGCAGAGTGCTCATATTGCAGCAGAATTGGAACCAGCAGGTATGTTCCTAAACGACAACAAAAGGCCAGACGGCGTTACCCTGATGCCCTAGCGTTTAGGACGCTTCATGGCGTGGGATTTCACCTGCGTGCATCGTCTAGCCGCCTCATATTCCACCCAAGCAGCTACTCCTGGTCCATGTGTCGCTGAACTTGCCGAGTCTCGAAAAGTCGGTAAAAACTCGGCCATGGCACACACACACTTCTTCCAGCCAGTTGCAGTAGAGACATTAGGTGGACTCGGCCCTAGCACCCTCGATTTTGTTACTGACTTTAGGTAGACGAATATTTCTTGCCACAGGAGAGAATTGGGCCATTAGCCTAATTGTTGTGATAAACTTATTAAATAGAGAACGAACATGAATGCTGATAACATGAATGATGATAACCTGAATGATGGCAACAATGAATCCCCTGCTCAACAAGATCAAGTGCTGCCAATACTTAAATTCCATGACCAGACTCCCGTTTCTGCACCCGGAAGCAAAAGACAGTGTGCCGTGCTAAGCCCATGTGGGGAACTTGATGACTCTGACATCTTGAATTCAACGATTGCAAAAAAGATCAAGGACGCAATATCTAAATCCATGCAAAAACTGATGCCAAATGTATTGAATAAGTTCAAAAGTCAAATCGAGTCGATCATAATGTCAACTATTGCCGAAGCAACCACCAAACTGAAGGCAGAAGTGCTCAATATGGTAAAAGGCGAAATCGTCAATGTCGAATGTAGGTCGAACCTTAAAGCGCTATCCGAAGCAGAACTTCTTGAAAGCTACAACAGGAGAGAGAACGTTAAAATATTAGGGATCACTGAAGAAACGAGCAATGGAAGAAAAGAAACAATAGACGCTACCATTAAAAACGTTCTAACTGTATCAAATAGTATCAATGCCAATATTACAGAACAAGATATATCCACCGCGCATCGGCTGCCCTCAAGAGGTGCCGGAGTCAAGCCAGTAATAGTGAAATTTACAAGAAGGGTGAAAAAAACCCACTTGCTGCAGAGGAAAAAAGAACTAGCTTCAACTGATCTCTATAACAACGTTAAGATATTCGAAGATTTAACTAAAGCTCGAATGAACTTTTTGAGAATGATGAAGTCAGATACGCGCATTCAATCAGCTTGGACGAGAGAAGGCTCTATCTATTTCTTGTGGAAGGATGATCAAAATGTACACAAAATTCATGGATTATATGAAGGAGGTGACACTCTAAAGTACAGTTTGAATAGTGTGATGAGTTGTTTTACTGGTGTTTTCCCGTTTGCCTCGGCTCAATCAGGCTCATAAATCTAAAGCAATTACTCCATCTAAACCCTGCGGTGCTAATAAATTTGAATTACTACTACTTCCAATGTTAGGTCTCTTAAAAAGCACTATGAGGATATAGAAGCACTTCTAAGTCTCGAGTCTCCAACAATTAATGTACTATGTTTTACCGAAAAATGGCTAACTGAAACAGACAATGAAAAAATATTTAGTTTCAAAGGATTTATTACAATTCTTAGCAACAACCGCAAAACGAGAGTTGGAGGAACTATGATACAACTTGGCGAAAATGTAAATTTAATAGAACCATTATCAACTTCTCTTTCCGAATCATTAGCAGCTCTAGTTGAAGTGTTTGGGAATAAAATGATAATATTAGTAGTCTATGTGCCGCCTAGATATGAAAAAAAATTTTTTGTCGATGAATTAGACAGGGAATTGGAATTGTTTAGTCATTAAAAAATACCCGGTATTCTAACAGGAGATTTTAACATAAATGTTCCCATAGAAAACAACCTTACGAGATCATATCTGAATACTATTACTGCAAATGGGTTTGAACTTTTAAATAAAAATGAAACTCGCATCACTGGAAAAAATGGAACATGTATTGATCATATGATAGCATGCAATACTCGCAATCCATCTATAAGAACCCTAGAAAATGAATGCTTTTCGGATCATTGCCCAATCATCCTTACATTTAGTTTGACAGAAAATGAATTATTATCTTCAACGTATCGTGACATGTCCTTTTTAAAAAAGGAGAAATCCCTAAATGACTTTATAGTTCTTATAAAAGAAATGCTAGAACAATCTCATATAGTCAATGAAGCCGACATAAATGTTGCTTATGATGCATTTAGTGAATGTTTGCTTTCAAGCATTAATATATTAGCACCAATAAGAAATTCAAAAGTCAAACGTAACGTACAAATGTTAACGCGCCGTGGTTTTGTAAAGAAATGAAAAATGCAATTTTAAAAAGAAACAAACTACACAAAATTTGGAATCTTGATGTTAGCAACATTGAAAATAAAAATAATTTCCACATTAAAAGGAAAAACGTTGAAATAATGATAAGAAAACTAAAAAAAGAGTATTACTTTAAAAGATTTAACAATTGTATCGGAGACTCGAGACAGGTATTTAAGTTGTTAAAAGAAATAAACGGTAAAAAAAAGGAAGTTCAAAGGTACCCACCATACAGTTAGAAGGGACTAATGTTTCTGATCCGCACACCATATCCAATGCTTTCAACGACTACTTTGCTACAATTGGATTAAAGCTTGCCAAAAAAAAATTGCCTGTGGCAATAAAGTCGTCCAACCTGAAAGTGTGACTCATTCTATGTACCTTTTTGAATGCTCGTTTGATAGCCTGAATACACTATTGATAGCCTGAAACCGACAAATTTTTGTGGCATGGATGAAATAAGTAACATGTTCCTCATTAAAACCTGTTTTGGTCTAGCTCCCTACTTAACTTATCTAATTAACTTATCATTTAGAAGTGGCACCTTTCCTCAGGCGCTGAAATATGCTAAAGTTATGCCTCTGCATAAATCTGAGAGCAAATTGGATATTATCAATTACAATCCAATTGCACTCTTAAATAGCTGTGGCAAAATCTTTGAGAAAATCATGCACTCTAGATTGTATAGTTACCTTGAAAAATTTAATATTATTTACGAAGGACAATTTGGTTTCCGGCAAAAGTTGGCAACCATTGATGCGTTAGCTGAATTAAATGAAAGATTAAGAATGTGTAAAGACAAGAAAATTAAATGCAGCCTATTTGTTGACTTGAAGAAAGCATTTGACACTCTGGATATGAAAATTCTTTTGAGTAAATTGGAAAATTATGGTATCCCGGATAATTGTCTCGCTTGGTTTAACAGTTACTTAAACAACAGATTTCAATGTGTTCAAATAAATGACTGATCGTCGGATTGGTTGCCAGTGACCACCGGTGTTCCCCAGGGATCTGTTTTAGGTCCCCTTCTCTTTTTGGTGTATATAAATGATTTGCACCTTGCTGCATCTAGCTCAAAAGTTTTTCTGTTTGCGGATGATACCAACATAGCCTTTGATAGCGCACGGTTTGAATGTTTCCAAGAGGATGTCACAAAGATGTCAGAATGGATGAATTTAAATAAACTAACAATTAATTCAGATAAAACCACCTTAATTAGTTTTGATAATGTTGTTGTTGTTGTTGTTGTTGTTGGGGATTCACAGCACAGCTGTTGGGCTTCTTGGTCCCGGCGTCTTCTCTAAAACAATGTCGACTTGTTTCTGCACGTGATACAATCACAGAATAATTGCCACGTGCACGTTGTCATTTCTGAAAATCTCTCGTTTACAAATTTCCACATCGTGTTTAAAATTCTCGTCTTGAGGCCGATTCGTTTATCAAAATGAATATATGGTTCTAATCGATTTACAATCCTACTGGTTCTGAAAACAAATTCGTTTCTCGCTTTTTCCGTTCTCACTTTTCGCATCTCAAAAATTTCTGTATTTCTAGCCCGTGTGGTTCGCCTGTTTAACACTATTTCATTTCGTTCATTAGAATCAAGACTGGCAAGAAAAAAGATGTTATTTAGCTGGATGAACATGGGCAGGGGTAAAATGTTTAGCAAGCGTAGTTCGTTGATGTACACTCCCGTTTTATTTCCAGTGATCCAACGGATTACTTTCTTTTGAAATCGCTCCAACTGCAATTGATCCCCCCTCGATATATGTATATGTGTACATGAGAGTCCGTATAATAACACTGGGAGTATTAGTGACTTATACAGACCTAACTTTACAAACGTATTTATCTTTGCTGATAGGTTTCTTCTCAGGAGGTACAGTACTTGGTTTGCCTTCTTTAATCTTGTTTCAATGTGTACCTTCCAACTTAAATCGCCCGACACAAAAATTCCCAGATCTTTCACAACCATCGATGTTCCAAGCACTACACCAAAAAGCATAGAGTTAGCGTCTCCGCCCCTAAAACTTACTTTTGCACATTTATCTAGTGCGAATTCCATTTTGTTTTCAGTTACCCACTGCTGAATTTTGTCCAGATCTTCTTGAATTTCAATTGATGTTTTTTTGATGGAAAGTAGTTTAAGATCATCCGCAAAAATATATGGTTCAGAGAATTTGAGTACTTCAGGTAGGTCGTTAATAAAAATGCAAAAGAGCAGTGGTCCTAAAAGTGATCCTTGGGGAACACCACTAGTGACTTCTAAAACTTTTGAGCTGATATTGTCTACTCGTACAAACTGTTTCCTGTTTTTCAAATAGTCATAGAGTACCTCTAACATGCAGCCTCCTATTCCTATAAGTGCAACTTTCTTAAGTAGATCAAAATGCGGAACTTTATCAAAGGCTTTTGCAAAGTCAGTGTAGAATGCTACAATTTCTGCGTTTGAGTCATTGTCAAGCGCTTCATATATTTCTTTCAGGAAAGAGAGCATGTTTGTCAAAACTGATCTACCTTTAGTAAAACTGTGTTGATGTTTCGTCAAATACCAGGCAAAGTAAGGGTACAGGTCTTTGTATATACATTTTTCAAGGACTTTGCTGTCAATATTTAATAGCGATACTGGTCGATAGTTGTTCACCATTTTTCGGTCACCTTTTTTGTGAACAGGAGTAACTGCAGCTGTTTTCCATGAATCAGGTATTTTTCGTAGGCGTTTTACGTTTCTCAAAAGTTAGTTCATCGGTTTGCATATATTGCGGTTCGTTTTCTGAAAAAAGCTAGGTGGCAACCCATTTGGAAGTTCAAAGGTACCCACCATACAGTTAGAAGGGACTAATGTTTCTGATCCGCACACCATATCCAATGCTTTCAACGACTACTTTGCTACAATTGGATTAAAGCTTGCCAAAAAAAAATTGCCTGTGGCAATAAAGTCGTCCAACCTGAAAGTGTGACTCATTCTATGTACCTTTTTGAATGCTCGTTTGATAGCCTGAATACACTATTGATAGCCTGAAACCAACAAATTTTTGTGGCATGGATGAAATAAGTAACATGTTCCTCATTAAAACCTGTTTTGGTCTAGCTCCCTACTT